TATGCTGCCGAACTGTGGTACACCTCAAGGAAGTGTGGTTTCACCATGGTTATTTGCTGTGTTGGTCTCTCAGCTCCAAGATATTCCGGGTGAAAACTGTCTAGTGCTGCGATTTGCGGATGATATTTTGCTGTTAGTTAAGTCTGAATCAAGTACCAGAGCAGAGAGATTGATGCAGACAGCTTTGAATCCTCTGCAAAGCTGGGCAGACGATTTGATTCAAATCATTTGAAGCTTACTACTAACGCCCTTGAGACCCAGTGTATCGCTTTCACACTCGGAAGTACCAGGTTCTTACCGAAGTTGCCTTTGTATGGTCAGCAGCTGAAAGTACACCGACGCTAAAGTATCTAGGCATAATCTTAGATCCAGGTCTGAGCTGTCGGGCAAACGTTGATGCCCTGGTGTGTAATCTTGAGGCTAGGTTGAGTCTCGTGCATGCGGTCGCAGGGGCGAACTTTGGTTACTCGGCCGCTGTGTTTAGGTCTACGTACCAAGCAGTAGCGGAGTCTAGGATGAGATATGCGTTATGCACTCGAGTTGCTGCTAGCGTGAGAGTGCTAGCTAAATTGCAGATTACACAGAATGCTGGTGCGAGACTCATTATTGGGTTGCCGAAACAAACTTCTGCTGACTTGGTTCTGCGCGAGTCTGGACTGGAGCCAATCAACTATCTCCTGGATCTGGCCATTATAGGGTGGACTCTCCGGGCTCAGTCCTTGTTTTACACTCATGTAGCACAGTTGACCTTGGATGATTGGACGGGTTTGCGAAAATTGAAGGGAAGAGCCCCACTGCACAGATTCGATGATGTGATGGACGAACTATCAGGTCTACTACCAGATGCTCTTCCTCAATGTTCAACTACTAGAGTAGAGACCCCATAGATAGGTACTGTGCTGTTTTCGACTCGGTTCGGTTAGACATCGGTCAAGGCGTTATGAAGAAAGATGGCACTGAAAAGGAGCTCAAGAGATGTGCTGAGAACATGCTCTCTGCATTTGGAGATGGGATCCTGACAGTTTTCTCTGATGGATCAAAGGCTGATGGTAGAGTAGGATGTGGCTATAGATGTGTGCTTGATGGGTACGTTCTATGTGAGAAGGTAGTCCCGCTCAGTCCCTATGGTTCGATCTACTATGCTGAGTTGGCTGATGTCTTCATGCTCTACGGTGGTTACTAAGTATGGATGGTAGACTGGTGAGTAATGGTACTTGTTTTTGCTTGGATAATCAGTCGGTGGTCTGTGTTCTGGGTGGTGGATTCGAAGATTTGGTTTTGACTGCTGAA